TTTAAAACCTAGCAACCCTGCTTTACGAGGGGGAAAGACGCCCTGAGTTCTGAATTGGTTTCTAGGATGTATATCTATTTACAATTTAAATTCGATGCTAGGAACAGTTGGCAAGTGAGCGAGTGAGTTAAAACCAGACCTTCACTCTCTATTTTATCCTCTTATTGTGTTTATACTTGAGTGACGTGTATCAAGACGAGGGAAGAAAATGGGCTTTTTCCAAATTAAAAAACAACAACTTGTATCACCTTGAGCAAACATATATTCTCCCTACAAAGTGCCAAGACTGCAACTGCTCAGGGCCACCTTCTTTCATACCCACCTGTTCTCACCCACCTTGCCTCCCTCCCGGCTGGGGGCTGTAGCTGCTGCCTGCTCACCGATCTGGCGGTGGCTGACGGTTAGAGCTAGCCCCTCTCCACTTCTTACTTTTCCACACAAGGCTTGCCGAGTGGCAGGGTCCTGGCCATCAATGCTGACTGGTCAGATGTCCACTCTAACAGACTGGAGCCAGACAGGGACCAGCTATTGAATAGCTGTACGATCACCCTCGCTCCAGAGGCCTGGATGCCCAACTGCATGGCGCAGAGAAGCAAGGACGTTCCACTCAACTGACTTGGGAATCAGCTTTGCAACGGGATGGGAGCTTCCCCTCCTCCAGAAGATTTAGGCCAAAGCTCGGCCCGAGAGCCTGGGATGCTCACCCTCCTGGCAGGCTGGGGTTAGCATGGCACTGAACTTGGGCGGACCAGAGGGACATCTTGGGGGAAGAGTCCTGAGTCTCTCTTCAGCCCACTTCATTCACCTTTTCTCATTCTAAGTCACTGGGAGAAATGAGCCCTTGACCATCCTGCTAGCTTGCCAGGTCCTCTGGATCATTCCTTCCTGGACTGCTTAATTCTTTTTCCACAGTCAAGAGAATGGGTTTTGGCCTCTGTAGGGGTGGGGTCAAGGACTTCCACATTCCATGAGCTCTTTGAGCCTCTGTTTCCTTATCAATGAACTGGGGATAGCAACAGTACCCAGCTTGGGGGTTTGGTGAGGACTCAGTGAAGTAGTGCTATGAGTAATTAGCACAGTACCTGGCACACAGGGCTCAAGAGATAGTAGCTCTTGGTGGCCCTGGTATGTGGCCATTGGGTTGCAGCAAGAAGGAACAAGCTAATGTCTCCCAGGATCTTGGGGTAGCGCTCGGCTCTCAGCAGGCACTCAGTTCATGCTAACCATCACTGTCATTATCATCATTGTCACGAGTGCTATTATTATCACTGGCTGCTTATTTCTTCTTTAACCAGAGCTCTGTAGCTCTTTGATGATGACAATAGTTCATTTGGGCACGAGGGGATTGGGTTACAAAAGAGGAGGCCTGTCCAATCTGTCCTGCTTGTCTCCAGCCAGGGCGTGAGCTTGGATAAGTGATGTTATGTCTCAGAGTAAAGCAACCCAAATGGATAACAGAAGGGGAGATTTCTACAGCAGGAACCCTTTCTGTCCTAGGGTTTATGAGTCTCACTTTGCCTGAAGATGCAACGTATGACCAGTGTGAGTGAGACACAGGAGGGATACTCATCTTAAACATTTTTTTCCAGTACTGGGAATTAAACCCAGGGGCCCTGAGCTATGTCCTCAGCCCTTTAAAAAAATCTTTATTTTGAGACAGGTCTCTCACTAAGTTGCCCAGGGTGGCCTTGAACTCGAGGTCTTCCTGCTTCAGCCTCCTGAGGAGCTGGGATTCCAGGCATACACCATCATGGCCAGCCCAACAGACCTTTATTGAATGCATTCTGTGTTGTGTCCATTCTGGGAACACAACAACCACGCTGCACACGTGCCTCACGGAGCTGACATTCCAGACTAAAGCTCAGGGGACAACCAGAAGAGTTCAGCCTACATCCGGGGCCCTACTGGTTTTAAAACTTGGGAGGTTGCATGGATTGAGCATGGCATTCACACAAAGCCCCCTCCAATTTCTGGTTGGATTTCAACATGCTCCTTGACTGCCAGGCAGGCCTCTCAGGTGTTCCGCAGAGAATTTGTCTTTGTACATTTCTTTTCCACAGTCTGAGCTGTACAGAAGCAAAAGAGTCAGAAATGGAGCTCTGAAAATAATAGCTTAGGTAAAGAGATGTGTCTTGAGCAAAGCCCTCAAAGAAAGCCTGGGCCTGGCCACACAATGTATGATTCCTTGGGCAGGACAGGACCTCTGAGGCCAGCACATCAAAAGCCTCATTTTCTAAGAAAGGGAATCAAGAGCTTCAGAAAAGTGGACCTCAGTTTTATTCCTGCAGACAAACATGTGTAATTTGCTTTCTTCTTTCACTTTTTATTCCCTAATCTTGCCAACATTTACCCCAAAAGTGGTCCCTCCATCTTTCCTTTCTACCTCGAAGATCACAGGGTCCCTCTGTCCATTGTCCCCCAGACACAGCCATCCTTTTACCGAAGGAAGCATTGTTCTCTCCCAGGGTGACACTGGCAGGTAATCTGGGATCCTGCCTAGCACAGGCTGGAGCAGGTAGAGAAGGGTGGGTAGGGTGGGCGTGAGCACCAGGGTTCAGGGTTTCCCAGGAAGGCAGACAGGCAGGAGGACAGCCCTCTTGACAGCTCTCGATGGCCTCTATGACAGGAACTTACTGGCACCAGGCCTGGCTATTCTGAGTTGGGGTGGCTCCAGGGCTTAAGTGACTATGCTAAACCTTACTTGTAAGTGGCTAGAAGGTGCTGGAGGGATTCTCCTCTGCCCCATCCATCTTTCCTCTCCCAGCCATGGCGAGTCCTAGGCGAATTTCCTTTCCTCTGGGTCAGAGAGAGGTGGGGCCCACTTGGGGTGGGACTGGAGCATTGGTCCTGATCTATCCCATGGCATTTAGGGTACTGGCCCAAAGCTGCCACATCGGCCTGGAAGAAGGTGGTGTCTCAGGCCTGGGTGGTGACAGGCCAAGCCCAGGGTCAGCCTGAAGACCAGAGGCAACTGAGGGAAGACAGATGCCAAATGTCACCTGCTTGGCAGTGTTTTCCTAGGATCCGCCCAGGCAGGGGCAGCATAAAAAGAACCCTCCCCCAACTCTGGGGCCCAAGTGAAACAGGTCTCAGGGGATGCACTCAGAGCAGCAGGGTCCTGGGTGTTCCATATGTACTCTGACTGGAAATGCCCTTCTCTGCTCAGGCCCTGGAGTTCTTTCCTCTATACCCTGCTGGAAAGGCTTGATGTGGGGAGTGGAGGTTTCAAAAGCATGTGCATCAGGTGCAGTGATCTCCTGATTGCACTTCAGAATTCAAAGTCCCTGGGATGTGGAAGGTATTCAGGAAAAGTTCAGGGAAGGGATGAGCCAGGGATGCCTGCATGAAAGGGGCCTTACAATTTTATAGCAGAACAATAGGCAGCTGCTGGTCCCGCCCCCTCACACCCGGAAGGTCAGCAAGTGATGGGGACCAGGCGTAGCCCACACTGGGGAAGACCACCAGGCACAGCACCGACTGTCTTGCCAACCCCCGGGCTTGCCTTCCCTTCTCCTCTCTGACCCACGAGTTCCAGGCGAGGGGCAGGGAAAAGTAGCTCGTTTCTCCGGCTCTGCGTGGGAACCGGTGGCACTTTGCATATTAACTCTCCAACATTTCGGAAAGTTTTCCGAGCTTTTGGGGAAACCGAGGACAGAGAGGAGGAAGCGGCAGACAGAAGGATTCTCCAGGCACTATGGGGCCCACAGAAGGAATTGTGAGGTCGCGGAGATGGGCGGGGGCAGGGAGAGAAGGAGAGAAGTGGCACCTGCCCCAGGTCAGAGTCCTTAGGGCCTTGGCATCATGGACTCAGGACGGCGTCTCCTTTTCTGGGGACTTGACAGAATGGCGGGGCCTCAGTGCGCATCGATAGCGAATGAAATGGCACGCGGGACAAAGGAGGGGCGCACGAGGCGCGGGACTCTCAGGCGTTCAGCGCCACGCTGTCCCACAGAGGAAGGGGAGGAAGCTCCGCGCGGCTTCGGAGACGTCACTCTCGGATCCTCAGGCCGCCCCAGCACCCTCGCGGCCTCCCCACACCTGTCCACCGCCCTCGGGAGGCTCCAGAGGGGGGCCGGGCTCGGCTGTCAGGCTGCGGGTGGGGCACTGAATCAGCCTCTCGGACTCCGGGCGGGCGAGAGCGTCCCGCGCCGCAAGTGCGCGCCCGGGGAAGTCCCGAGCGGGAGCAGCTGGGGGTCGCGGTGCCGCCCCGCCTCTGGAGAGGTCGGGAGAGCCTGGGGGACTACCGCGCTCCTGGGGCCCCCAGAGCCCACCCGGCGGCCGTACACACTTTCCCCAAACGTCTCCGCGCAACGAACGCGCGGCAACCCCGGGGTTGCTCGGGACGACGCCGGGTTGGCCGAGCGTCCAAACCTGGGGGAGGGTGGGGGGCTCCCTCCAGCTCGGCGCGCCCTGCATCCCGCGGAGCCGGTCCCACACCCGAGGGCGGGCGGCGCGTGTGCCGGGTGCCGAGTGCCGCGTGGGGGACACTCCCCTTCCCCGGAGCTCGTGCACAGTCCCCGTCCTCCGCTCCGGCTCGGGCATCCCCTCCCCCGCTCCGAGATCCCCGCGCGGCCCCTGCCCACTTTGCCAAGGCGAGAAAGCGGCCGAGCCAGAGACAAAGAAACTCCGGCTTCCCTCCACGCTCGGCCCCTCCGCCCGCCGAGACACTCCCCGGCGCCCTCCCTCGACCCGGCGATACTGTACTCGGACCCCCGGGGAAGGGGTCGGGCGGGCGAGTCAGGTCCCCGGCGCGGGGCGGCTGGAGGCTGCGGAGCACCCCGCCCAGGGATACCCACGGCAGCCGCGCCCCCATCACCTGCTCCCCAAACCGTCCCAGGTCCCTAGCATCGCCACCCCCAGCCCAAGGCGTCCCCCACCTCTCCACGAAGGGGCCGGGGGGCGCGGCGCACACAAAGCGCGGGGGGGGGGGCAGAGCAAGGGTGCAAAGGGGGATCCCGGCAGGGCTCCTGGCCGGAGCCCAGGAGGGCGCAGCTATTTACCCGATTTCTTCTTCGATCTCCGAGATGTCTGCGAAGATGAGGAAGACCACCAGCAGCGTGAGCGCGGCCAGCATCCAGCTCCGGAACTGCAGCTGCATGGTGGGCTGGAGCCCGCCGGGACCGGCGCGGGCCGGCGGAGGAGCGGGGCTGGAGGGCGCGGCGGCGGGCGCGGAGCCTCGCGGGCCACGCGGAGCCCGGCGGACCCTGCGCTCCTGCGAGTCTGGGCCGGCAGCAGCGGCGGCGGCGGCGGCGGCGGCGGCGGCGGCGACAGACAGCCGTTGCTCCGGCGCTGCGCTCCCTCCGGGCTCCTGCCCGCCCCGCCCCTCTCGTCCCCTCCCTTCCCCCCGCCCCGCGCCCGGCTCCGCGCGCAGTTTGACCGCTTTGCACCGCGCCTCTCTTCGCCTCCTCCCACCAACTCCAGCGTCCAGCCGCCAGCCTAGGCTGCGCCCGCCTGGCTTCTTTCAGCTCCGGAGGGCGCGGGGAGGCAGCCGCTCCCGGCCGAGGAGGGCTGGGCTCAGCGCCCCGAGCGCGACCCGGGAGCGGGCGGGCTGAGCGAGGGAAGCGCGCGCTGTGCTAGGCGCGCCCCGCAGGTTGGCAAACGCCCTCCTCGCCCGCTCTTTGTCCAGCGCCCTCGCTTCCTCTCAAAGTTTTCCTGACACAAAAGACCAACACCCGGGGACAGCCCCTAGCGCGCGGCAGGAAGGCGGTTTCCGCCAGGCAGACGTTTCAGCAGTTGGCGAATTAGGAGAGGGGGAAGAAACGCCAGAAACAGGCCAACTTCGGTGGGGCTGCTGACTGCAATTTGTGAGCGAGGGGCTGACAGAACCCGCGAAAACCTCCTCCTCCAGGCAGTCGTCTTGCGCCGTTTATAGCCCGAGACTAGGATCTTGAGCTCTGAGTTAGCAAAGGGGTCGAAGTCCTGGTTAGGAACCTGGGGGCCCCTGGACTGGCGGTGGTACCTACAGTGGCAGATTCAGTGCCCACCCTGCCTCTGTCCTGAGGGTGCTGACTCTGGATGGGCTTTATTCCCGCCCCCAGCAAAATCAGTACCTCCTTCCTATCTTGATCAAAGGCCTTCCAGAAAAATATGGCTCCCACAAAGGGTGATGTCCCCGTGCAGAACATTTTATTCTTCTCCAACCTCAGACACTTTAGCTCAAATTACATTTTGCACCAACCACTAGCCTGGGGTGGGAAGGGCCCCATTAAGTTTTACTGGAATTGGATAATTACCTTTAAAAAATTTTTTTTCCCCTGGCTCCAGTTGTAACAATTCCTGAAATCAAGGAATGTAACTTTCCAGAAATGATGATTTGGTTTATGAAAGGGTCCTAGAGGTTTGTTGCGGGGAGGACAGTCTTAGTGGAGAAGCTATACGAATGTCCTAACTGCCTGGCCAGCTCCAGCAGGTGAGCGGGAGTAACAGGTTGGTGGTGTCCAAGACAACGCAGAGGGATTCTGGCTGGTAGCAGCCAAGTCTAGCCAGGGCTACATGGAGACATAAGAGGGCTTTTCCCACTTCCCACCGAAGTGCTGCCTGTGCTCAGGGTGCTTCTGCCTCTGTGTACGAAGGGGAAGCAGAGGGAGGCTTCCCAGCTGGGGTGAGCTGGGCTTTGCAGGCACTGGGCTGGGAGGGAGGATGAGCTCACCTCTGCAGGAGGTGGGACCAGGAGCAGGGCACAGAGGGGTGAGGCGCTTCTGCATCAGCTTCCAGACGAGACAAGAGCAGATGCCTTGTTGGAACCCCCAGCTTGCAGCACAGCACTTCCTTTCCTTCCCAGCCCTCTGCAGAGCCCATGCATCTTTGCTCCTTATTGCATCTGGGGGTAAGACTCACGTTGCACTCAGTGTTGGACATCACTCTCCCTGCCAGTGAGAGGCAAGGGCAAAACATCAAAGAGGGTTTCCCATCAGTGTGGCTGCCCATGTGGTCTGGCCAGCCTGTCTCCAAGTTTTCTAAGCTAGTTCTTTCCCGCTATCTTGCTTGACCTGTGGCCCAGGAGGTGTGAGCTGTTATCATTTTGTGCTGCTTTTCTGAGATGAGTGGCTGGATAGCTGACAGGGAGGGGTAAGAATGGAATAACTTGTTCCAGCAGGTCACCACCTCAGCCACTCCATCCCTCCATAATGCTTATTGTGCATCTCCCTTGTGCCAGATTCTGCACTAGGGGCTAGAGATACCAAGAGATACCTCATTTCCTGCCCCCTAGTGGCTCACAGTTCAGGAGGAAGATAGTCAAGTAACCAATTATAACATGGGGTGTGAGCTACAGCAGAGCCAGGTTCCCCTGACTAGCTTGTAATTGCTTAGTAAGATCACCCTAAAGAGCCAGAAGAAACCCACTGGCATCTTTTTTCCCTGCTCTCTGCCTTTCAATCGGCTACATTCTTGGTATACAGGATGTCATCAAGGTATTGCCATGATCCTATATTCACCAGGTCAGACAAACTTCATCGATACAATGCAAAAGAAACCATTTCAGTTTTCTATTAGGTGCCTCATGTTCTCATCCTTGGTGTTCAGTATCCCTTGCATCCACCAGGGGAGAGTCAGTATGAGTGGACAGGGAAGGGTTAAACTTGTTTTTCCTTTATGGAGAAATCCTTGTAACCGGGCCCTCAGAGCACTGTCCGTCTAGTGTACCTGCTGGGAATCGAACTAGCAAAGTAACATTGAGGCTCTTCTTGCAGTGGGAGCCATTGAGAAGGTGATGGGGACTTTGTGTTGACCATAGCTACTGTCTTTAAGCCCTTACCTTGGAATCCTCTTGGGCCAGATACTTTGACAGTGATCTTTGCTATCTCTGAAAAATGTGTTTGTTCCTGGAATATGGAAAGAGGAATAATCATCACCCAGACTGGCAGCAAATGTTAGGCTGGTGATGCAAACTGCCACATGGGCCCCACAGAGCCTCTTCTTCCTCCCAAGCCCTCTGCTTATGCAAATCCCTTTTCTGGATTAGATTTCCAAAGAAATGGGGAGTCCACCATAACCATTTCTTTAGACGAAGTCATTGAATGCTTGGGTTAAAATGTAGGAGTTCATATGGGAGTGGCAACAAACTAAAAGTCATTACTACCCATTAACATTTTAACTGGAATTAATAGAGTATATTAGCTATTCAGGCAACTAATAAAAGACCTGGGAAGTTTGTATTAATGAGGACTAGGGGAGCAGGGGCCCTGCAGAAGCCGGAAAGGGCCCAATGGGGTCAAATAGAGCAGTAGGATGGCCCTCCTCTGTCTCTGCCACTGGGTTGTCCTGCCATCTGCCAGCTTTAGGGGTGGAATCCCACCCAGAGCCTGAGTGCATGAGAACCCTAAAACTTTACTGCCATTTACATATCTAACTAAACTCCTCCAACCCCACTTCAGCCATGTAGAATTTCCAGCTGAGCCTTCTTGCGAACAATGAGATCTAGAGTGATAACAACACGTTTGAGTTACAGGCTGGGGAGAAAAGGCAAGTCCAAAGTGCATGGAGGGCTGGCATATGTGAGCACACACAATGGTAAGGCACCAACTGGGGCTATTTCTTTTATTTAGTCCTCATGGCGATCCGTTCATATAGATTCCATCATCATTTTGCATTGGAGCAAACTGAGGCTCAAAGAGGCTAAATTGCCCAAGGTGGCTCAGATGGTAGAGAGGGAATTCCAATTCTCATGGCTTCCCCTGGGCCTCAGCAACTTGTGGGATCCTGGGATTGCCAAGATCCCCTCCAGCAAGCTGGGTGATTCGAAGCCAGTTTGCAAACAGGCACCGCCTTTGATTCTTATTATATCCCTTTAGTTCTGGTATGTCAGGATTCAGGGAGCCAGTCTATCTCTCCTCGCTGCACACCCTTCATCATTTGTGAGATCATAATCATCAATCTCCATTCTCATCTCTCCATGTGGAAAAGGCTAGTCCTTTCAGTCAATGCCATCTTTTTCAAAAAATTCAACAAGAAATAATAATTATCTGAAATTCTGACCTACTACCTGACACCTTGAACTCTCTCAGAGAGCAATTTAGAATGTTAAGAAACTACAAAGAGATGATGGTTTTGCTTTTCCAGTATCTCTGAAGAAGAAGCTGTTTGTGTGTATGGGGAGTACAGGATGCAAGGATTGTGGAAAGAAGTAGATCATAGGTGGGATAGTTTCCTAAGCTACTGTATTTCTGCACCTTCAGTAACTCAGAGAACCCCTTTTTCTTTTCAATTTTACATTAAATTTGAGTGTTCTCGCAGATGCAACATTTCCCCCTTCCAAATCAGAACAAGAGTGGTGACAATATGGAAAAGTAAAGGGGCACATTTGCATTCCATTTGTTAACTTTCATAAATAGCAAAATTGTAGTTTAGCCAAAGAAAGAAATTATACCCAGGCGGTAGCTGTAAGTGTTTCTGGAATTATCAGCAAGAGATGTTGGGAGGGATGTGGGAGCGAGCTCCACAGTGAGTTGGAGGTGACAGAGGAGAGAGTGGTGGCTTCATTTTTGGCTGTGATTTTGACAATCTCATCAGCTGGGATGAAAGGCAGTTTAGACCCCAACTGCAAAGTCAGGTACCAGACAGCAGAGAAGGATGACTATCATTTTGAGCTCTGAATCAGACTTCTAGGCTTGCCCAACTTTATCCAGTCCACCACGATGCCCTCTTCATGTGGCATCTGAGGAAGCCGGCCCATTCTATCCATCCCTGGCACGCAGTCTTTACTACCTCTCGGCCTTGGTTCAGATGACGGACCTCTACTTTCCAAAAGTTGGTGGACATCATGTTTTTCCTGCCCATTCATTCCTTTGACAAGTATTGCTTTGTCACCTCTCGTGTGATGAAGTCTGTGTGGTTGCACATCATGCCTTCCCAGCTCCCTGTTATATTTCTGGGACTATGGTAGAGGGCTGGAATGTAGTGGTGAATGAAGTAGGAAGAGTCCTCCCTTGGAGGAGTTTGGGATCCAGTGGGATTTTTCAGATAAAGAACCTATGTCCAAGAATTTAAGAGATTTACCCATGGTCCTACTGCAGATTTCAAATCTGAGAACAGATTCTGGCTATCCTGCCTTTGAACTGAGTTTCATGTTAGTTCTTCCACAGATACACATTTTTATTTCACTTCTCATGACATTGCAGTGAAATTGGAAATTCCTAAGGGA